ACCATACTGAACGCTGTGCTTTTTGATCTTCATCAGTAAATGTTTTAAGTCCTCTTCACTTTCAGCAAGCAAGGTTGTATCATCTGCATATCGCAGGTTGTTAATGAGTCTTCCTCCAATCCTGGTGCCATGTTTTTCTACATAAAACTCAGCTTCTCAGATTATTTGTTTAGCATACAGATTGAGTAAGTATGGGGAAAGAACACAACCTTGTCACACACCTTTCTTAATTTTAAACCATTCGGTGTTCCCATGTTCTAATCAAACAACTGCCTCTTGGTCTAGGTACAGATTCCTCATGAGCACAATTAAGTGTTCTTGAATATTCACATTTCACAATGTTGTCCATAGCTTGTCATGATCTACACAATCGAAAGCCTTTGAGTAGTCAATAAAGCACAGGTAAACATCTTTCTGATATTCTCTGCTTTTAGTCAAGATCCATTGGACATCAGCAATGACATCCCCCATTCCATGGCCTCTCAAAACGTTTTAGTGAATAGTGTTACTCTGAAACTTGTTTTCAAATAGTTCTCTCTCAAATGAAGTCTTGATCAAGTTACGCTATACATTAAAAACACATCTGTAAAGGTCCAGGATATACTCTTACAGAGTTCAAAACATTGTATTACTATCTGTTATTGTTGTTAAGTGCTGTCGAGTCGGTTCCAACCCATAGCGACCCTGTACAGGGTTTCCGAGGGTGTAAATCTTTACGGAAGCAGAACGCCTCATCTTTCTCCCACGGAGTGGCTAGTAGTTTTAAACTGCTGGTTGTTCAAAATTAAATTTGCAAACACACCTCATTGTGGAAGTCACATGAAGCTGCTACAAACAATATGATAAAGTAATAAGTATCACATCTCTATATAACACTGTTGTTGTTAAGTGATGTCGAGTCAGTTCTGACTCATAGCGATTTCTGGCTCTTTTCTTATTGGTAGGTTCCTCACCTAGATTTTTTTCTTTCAAAAATTTTATGCCCTTTTGAGTGTTTATAACAAAAAAAATTTTTGAAAGAAAAAAATCTAGGCGAGGCCAGGAGTGGAGTGCATCCTTTGGACCTGATGTCCCTGCATTGTGATGCTCCTAGATCCACAGGAAGTTTGATGCCAAGATGTATGGAGCTCTCTAAGGAATACTGGGCCTACAGATATTGAAAAGTAAGAAGAACCTTTCCACCAGGCCAGAAAAAGAAAGTTTCCCTAGAGCTGGCACTCTGAATCTGGACTTCTAGACTTCTCAACCACAAGAGAATAAATGTCTGGTAGTTGAAGTGGAAAAAAAAAAAATCTGGGAGGTAGGGGTGAGAAAGGCTTAACTAGAAACAAAGAAATCATATTACACACTAAATGGGCCAAACATCATCACAAAATATGAAAAGTTTAAAAAAAAGTTACCTAAAGAAAACAGAATAGCTATCTAACTTGGCAACTAGAGTAAAATCATGCAAAAAGAAAATGTATTGTTTTAGACAGCGATGTACCATGCTAAATAAGTGCTTTGCACACATATCTCTGGTCTCTTAAAGATGCTATAAAATAGCTATTATCATCCTCATCTAAAGAAAACAGATGTCCTGAAAGGTTAGTGACTTGCCTTAACTTCACTCCTCCAAAAACTAAACCAAACCCATTCCCATTTAGTGGATTCCAACACATAGTGACTCTCTTATCGGATTTCCAAGGCTGCAAACCTTTGCCAGAAAGCCTCATCCTTCTCTCACGGAGCAACTGGTGGTTTTGCGCCACCTGGGCTCCTTTAACTGCACTCCTAGTATGTGCTGGTGTCCTGGTGTGGCATGGTGGGTTAATGTGCTAGATTGCAAAGTCAGTTTGAACTGCAAGGACGGTGATTCAAGCTCACCAGCCGCTCCTCGGAAATCCTATGGGTTGGAACCAACTCGACGGTATGAAGTAATGCTGGAATTGTAATTCTTAAGTTTGATTTAACTATTGTGCTAAATCCTTAAAATGGCGGTAAGATTGGTAGGCATCCATTGGGGGTATCACCCTCCCAGGCTCTTCACAGAAGCAGCAGTCAAAAAATCAAACGACGAATTGCATTACGCAAATCTGCTGCACAAGACCTTTTTAAAGTGTTGAAGAGCAAAGATGTCAGCTTCAGGACTAAGGTGCGCCTGACCTAAGCCATGGTATTTTCAATAACCTCATATGCATGCGAAAGCTGGACAATGAATAAGGAAGACCGTAGAAGAATTGCTACTTTTGAGTTATGGTGTTGGAGAATACTGAAAGTGCCTTGGGCTGCCAGAAGAACCAAAGATCCGTTCTGGAGGAAGTGTAGCCAGAGTGCTCCTTGGAGGCCAAGATGGCCAAACTTTGTGTTTCATACTTTGTACATATTGTCAGGAGGGACCAGTCACTGGAGAAGGATATCATGTTTGGTAAGGTGGAGGGTCAGAGAAAAAGAGGAAGGCCCCCAATGAGATGGATTGGCCAAGTGGCAGCATGATGGACTCAAGCATGGCAACAGTAGTGAGGTTGGCCCAGGATCAGGCAGTGTTTCATTTTGCTGTGCATAAGGTTGCTATGGGTTGGTACCGATTTGATGGCACCTAACAAGGCTCTTCTTTACACAAACTGGTCTTAACAAAATCATGATTGTGTTACTGGACATTCCAAAGGGTCTTCTAGGAATTTGGAATGGCATCGAATGATAGTCAGCAGGGACTTGGGATGCCCCACTAAACAGAAGGAAGCAACATAATAGCTTTGACTTCCCAGGCTGTTACCTTTTGTAAAATTTAAATACTGTATATATTTTAACAAGGTGTTGCTGTTAAGTGCCGTCGAGTCAGTTCTGACTCACAGTGATCCCATATAGGGTTTGTGAGGAGCGGCTGGTGAATTTGAATCATCGACCTTATTATGTTTAGCAGTCCAGTGCTTACACTATAGCGCCACACCAGTCAGCACATAGTGTGTCTTCAATAAACGGTAGGTTTTATTACTAGTTCAATAACTTCAAAGTATAAGTTTGAGTCCTAGCCACTTTTTTGCTGAATGTACAACTTTTGTCTCGGGATCTGTGTTTCCTAATTACATAGAAATGGGGATAATGGGGCTTTATTGACTACGCAAAGGCTTTCGATTGTGTGGATCATGACAAGCTATGGACAACATTGAGAAGTATGAGTATTCCAGAACA